GTTTTGTTTATTCCGTATTACATGTTTCATTGCTGGGCTTAAACCAACTGCAAAAGTGCGGTGCACCATAAATACACCGCTCGCAGGTAATTAGAATTGAATCACAGTGAATCACAGATATATTCAGTTCGTTGTGTACTTTGTTTTGCGGTGTTTCGTTAACATTCAGCGGTTGTTTTGTTGTTAACATTCAATGAAAAAATGTACTACAGTTGTTGGAATATTGCATTCTTGCAAAAATTAATAAAGTATTTCTTAGCGAATAACTTCAAACGTGCATGTATGTACTAGACGATGCAAACAAAACGGTGAAGCGAAAAGTCTAAAAACAGATAAATAAAAGATGACAGAAAGAGAAATGTGTTCGAAACTTTTTGTTGTTTTTGACAGTACTGCTGACAACGGAGCAGGACATTAAAATCCCGCCGCTCCGTTCAGTGCATTGCTGAATATACGCCAGAAGGACTGCGCTTCAAGCAATAAGTATGGCTATAACGATGAATGAATATAACGTTACCTCAAAGGTGCAATGGATTGACTAATCTGGCGTTCCATCTTTTATCGCCTGCCACGTGTGCTCCATATAAAAGATGAAACCATAACTGCGGCACTGACCTGATTAGTGATCTTGCACCTTACAATGAAAAATATGGTGTATATCTCCTCCAAGATTAGATTTTACGGGGGATCGCATCGCCTTATTGCTTCTAGATGTCTGGGAAGGGATATTTAACCAGGTCACCGCTTAATGGTGTTTGAGCACAGATGCATGTGGCATCACTCTGTCCGCTAGTTACCACAGGCTCTTCACGAACGATGTTTCACGAGCTTGCACTCGTATGCTACCGCATAAATATCAAATTATTTGCATAAGCCATGGAGTGGCATAAACCTCAAAGACCAGATTTTATCGTGTAACGCACAGCCCTGATGCTACAATACACCATTAAATCTGTTTTTGGAGGAGTTTTGCACCATTTAACAAACTCCGGCGTGCGAAAATATTTTCAATGAAATATATTAGCTTAACAAATTATTGGCTGTTATACTGCTTTCAACTTCTACTATTAATCAATTATGATGATGTTTCACCTAGCAGTGCTTTCACCGACGTCAGAAAATCATACTTCACAGGCTTTCAACTCTGAGTTATTTCCACAACCTATACTAGCCAGTGCAAACTACAACCCGTTTTCAAATTCAGCAGTGTTCTATGCATCACTGTAAAATTTACAAAGATGAAGCAAACGCATCACTTACAAACAATTCCACGAGACAAATATTGCATTGTCTTGTAAAGTCAGTCAAACGTTCTGTCACATGGCAGAATGTGCAGAATATCCAAGTAACGACGAAGCCATTCTTTTCGCGGATATTCTTCTGCGTATAAAGTAGACAGTAAAAAGTTCCTGGCAAGTTGATACAGAAAAAAGTTTTTCGCAGGCAGAATTCTTTTCTGCAGCAGTGCATTTAAAACCGCATCAACAACCAGCGGATCAGTCGAGCAAAGGGAAGGGGGGTTACGCAATGAAGAAAGCTGAAAATGAAACTGCCTGAAACCAAGAATATTGCAAAAAAACATGCAAATCTGTGACAACTTCGCTGCTTGATAAGAGCAACGGAAACAGCTTTGCAGAAAGTTTCTGAGACTGTTAAATGCACTTATGTAGACAAGCTACTTGATAAGGAGCATGCTGAGACAATGAATAACTTTGGGCGCCAGGGCTGGCGCCAAATACGGAATCATTTAAGTCTGGTCTGAATCATTTGGTCGCACGTTGAAACCGCTTCTGCTGCGTGATTATCGCTTTTCCGCCGTCGAATTACGCCTGGGCGTCGATTCAAAAAATTACTAGTTGCATGGTACACCCTCCACTGATTTCCTAAATCTGCCACAGAATAAATTTTGTAGGTGCGTGGGCTACGATGTTTTGAATTATGTAACAAATTTAAAATAATTGGTTAACACGTTTTGGACTAGAGGACCGCCATTACGGAACGATCTGCTCGATATCAAGCCATCGGCCTAATAGATAGGGTGTCCGGCCATTTAGGGAAGTGCAGTCTTTCGATTTCAACATTTTCTAAATGCGTCTCTTGGAGGAATCTATCGATTCGTTAAGACTTCCAAGTTCTAGCCACGGCCGTTTGGCAATTATTGACAAAGTAATTAGTAGTGAATATGTAGCTAGGTTTGCAATCAATACAGACACTGTGGTAACGATAAAGAAGGCCTTTGATTTTGGACAAGACCTTCTCAAGGATAACTCTTATATATCTGGAAACTAGGTGAGTGGCTGCATCTGATCAACTACTCTAGGTTCCTGCTGATAGTCGATCTTCGGTATAACACGGCATGTTTTCTATCAGAAAGAGAATTCAATAGGTACCATATAGGAGCGATTAATGTCAAACTCAAACCATCCAAACAAATGGCAGCAAACGTCCACAAAATAGACAAGGAAGCCGTAAATTTCTGTGGTCAAAAACTATAACTTTAGTTCAAAATGATAATATCACTATTAAGGTAGCGACTATAAACTTTATCGTAAAATCTAACCTGAGCTTAGACCTAACAGTTGCGTGAGAGATCGCGCGAAACTTAATTCTGATCCATAAGAAACTAAATCAAGAATATTCTTACCGTCCAACATCGCAAACTGACGAATTGCAGAAAAGAGCGATCTTCTGACCAGAATGACAGACAGATGTCACGACTGTCATCGAGCAGACAAGGGAGAAGAACGTACTGGGCAAATAGTGAGTCACCGTAGCCACTTTGTTCGTACTGATCCAAGAGGGAATTATAGCTAAATTTGCGAAATTAATACCAATGATCTGAACGATGAAAACAAAATGTTACTAGCTATGGAAAGAACCATCAAGAGCCGATTTCTGAGAAAAATCGATCGAACTGAACAGTGAAAAGTAGTTCTTGAGAAAATCAGCGAGGTAATCCTTTACCAATGGTTGAAAAGACACTTCTCCTGAACGGCGGAACTAACGTTATAACAAAAATGTGAAAGCTAGGACAAAGTAAAACATACGCGGTGTAACAGATACATAATAAAATATGTGCAATGTCCGTTACTAGCTACTACCTGTAGAATGAAACTACTTCCTAACAAGCAAGTTCGCATCGAAATACTTCAAATAATAATACCATTGTTTGCCCCTGACAAGTCACTGGAGATGCGATACTCATTTCACTTCTTCAAAACGACGAA